TACCAAGCCTCTCTCCACCTCTAAAAAGTCAAGATTGATAGTATAGAGATTAATTTTTGAAGTATTTCTCTGCAAAAAGTTTGAAGTTCAACTATCATTCAACGTCCAAACTTCTTAACACGTAGATGTCAAGAGCCAATTCTGTACATCTGTCCATTGTTCACATGAACCAGTGGAAGACAAGACTACCAGTTGCTTTGACAAGTATCTATGCCTCCCATCATTCCATACCCCGCTCAAGGTAATGCATGAATTAAGAAATGTGCTTAGTACTTCTTTAAAGAAATATAGTAAGAATCATGCAATCATAGAATCATGAAGGTTGGAAAAGACCTCCAAGCTCATCGAATTCGACTTCTGACCTAACACCACCATGCCAACTAAACCATAGCACTAAGCGTCACATCCATTTTGTGAACACTTCCATGGATGGTGACTCCACTACCTCCATAGGCAGACCATTCCAATGCCTGTAGAAAAATTATTCCTGATGTCCAACCTTAACCTCCCCTGGTGCAGCTGGAGGTCATCTCCTCTTGTCCTGTTGCTCGTCGCCTGGGACAAGAGGCTGACCCCACCTCACTACAACCTCCCTTCAGGTAATTGTAGAGAGCAATAAGCTCACCCCTGAGACTCTTCTTCTCCAGGCTAAACAACCCAAGCTCCCTCAGCTGGTCCTTGTAAGACTTGTGCTCCAGACCCTTCACTGGCTTCACTGCCCTTCTCTGGACACTCTCCAGCACCAAAATGTCCTTCTAGTAGAGAGAGGCCCAAAACTGAACCGAGAATTCAAGGTGTGGCCTCACCAGTGCCACATGGGAACAATCACTTCCCTAATCCTGCTGGCCATACTATTTCTGATACAAGCCAGGATGCCATTATCTATACTGGGACCAGTGTTATTTAATATCTTCATTAATGATATAGATGAAGGGATTGAGTGGACCCTCAGCAAATTTGCAGATGACACCAAGCTGAGTGGTGCAGTTGACACACCTGAAGGACAGGATGTCATCCAGAGGGACCTGGACAAGCTCAAGAAGTAGGCCCATGGGAATCTCATGAGTTTTAACAAGTGCAAGGTGCTGCACCTGGGCTCGGGTAACCACTGGTATCAATATAGGCTGGAGAATGAATAGATTGATAGCAGCCCTGACGAGACAGACATGGGGGTGCTGGTGGATGAGAGGCTGGATACGATCCAGCAAAGTGCACTTGCAGCCCAGAAAGCCAATTGTATCCTGGGCTGCATCACGAGCAGTGTGGTCAGCAGGTCAAGGGAAGGGATTCTGCCCCTCTACTCTGCTATGGTGAGAGCCCACCTGGAGTACTGCATCCAGCTTTGGGTCCCCACCACATAGTGACATAGTGACATCAATCTATGATTATACCAAAATCAGCATTTGGGCACCAAAAGACTCCTTTTTGTTTGTTCATGGATAAGGGATTTGTAACACTGAAGTCATTTAAATGATTATGACTTATACAAAAGGGGAATGAGGTTTCAAGAATAAACCTATCTAATCACTCTCTTCCTTCCTTCCATGAGATGCTTTATATAAAGTATTGTTGAACTGTACATGTAGAAAGATAATCTCCTGGGCCTCTTTAGGTCAAAGCCAATCCCTTGAATTGCCCTTGAAACTAATGGGCAGCTTGGTCAGATCTGAGAGCAGGGGTCCCCTACTCCACTGACATTAATTTGGATTAAGTATAACTTCTTACCTGGCAAGGTAACAGCTGTAAGTCTCAATGATGGAGACAAAAGGTGCACTGAAGACCTGCTCCCCAGCCTGGTGAGTGAGCAGAAGAATAGCTGGGTGGGATCTGCAGGTGGATGGTCAAGAATTGCACAAGCCAAACGAGCATGTGTAATCACTGAGAGAGGTTACAAGAAAGGTGTGAATCTATAGAAGTATAGATGAGGGGGAAAAGATGGCTGAGCAGATGGGCTGGTCAAATGGGAAAAAGAAAATTAAACTAGACTAGTCAGAATATACCCTTTTCACCTCAATGGTGACAGAGAAAGTGATCTTGCTTTAGTAATTTCTTTTTTTAACCAGAATTTCTGAATAAGTCATGCCTGAGCATTAAACACCACAGATCCGCTTCCAAGAGAGTGTGTTACTGCTCCGATTCTTTTTAATTAGGAAACCTCACCAATCATTCATAGTGGATATTTAAGTAGTGTTTTTCTGTATAAAAATGCTAATTTTTAGTATGTGTGTTATTATACAGGCATTGTAATAATGGGTCTGAGATCATACCAGGCTTCATGCTGTAAAAACACAAAGGAAAAAGACAGGAGTCCGTGTCTCCAATGACTTGCAATTTAGGTATAGCAAAAATCACCAATGAAAAGAAATGATGAAGCAGCATTCATTAGTGGGCTCAAAAGCAGAAGATGACAACACTGGCAATTTAACTGTTGTCCTGCTTTAAGTGGTACTGTATCAGAGAAAGAGCCTCGTAAGAAGGAGAATTAAAAATGGAGATGTGTAGGGGTCCCCTACAGTGAGGGGTAACACAGAACGGTGCCAAGAGGTGATTTGCTTGCAGCAGGCAAAAGACAGGTTGGCATCATGGACTTTGATATGGGAATTTACTTCAACACTCAAAGAGAAACCAGAAGTGGGATGGGAAAGTGTCCATGGCTATGTAAAAGATTACAAGTAGGTCACAACTCAATTCTTCTTGACAGAGGGAGGAAAATCAGTAGCAATACACAAGAAGTGGTCAAAGCAGTGACATGGTCAAAGCAGGAAGACAGGAAAATTATCTTATCAGATCGGTTTGGACAGATCTCACAGGCTGAAGCCACTGTAAGGCCAAAGATGACTTCAGGTGAGGAGGTAACAAACAAATTTCATCTACAGGGATGAAAAAAGAAACACATATCTTCAATTTATAATGCGGGACTTTGACTTAACCAGAATATTAGACTGTAGAAAAGTCAAAGACAGAGCACAAGTTATGGGGCTGAATGATTGGATATGTAGAGGTTTTATCCCCGGTGGCTAAAAAGGGAGGGGAAAAGACCTTTGAGAAAAAGGTTGTTAACACTCAAACAGTAGCTCAAGAGCTGAGCCCAAGACTACAGTCCAGACAGAAGGAGTTAGATAATTTTTGGGATGCAGCAACAAGGAGAAAGTAGTGTGATATGCATTCATGGACCAAAAGAGAAGAACCAAAGAGAAGGGAGAGAGTTCTCAAATGCTCCCTTACACTTGGACATTAATTTTTCATTGTGAAAAATAAGTCTGAGTCCTTATTTTTAAAGATAACTGTGCGGTCTTGCTGTTTCCCATTGCCTTGAAGGAGATTCTGCCTCTCACAAAACTAAGCCTGACAGAAGGGGGTTTGTGTTGCATATTCCACACAGTTTGCTTCCACTGAGATTGTCATGAGATACGTGACACCGTGCAGGAGTACCTGGTTCACTGACACTAATCTCAGGGGGCACAGCCAGCCCCACTAGCTACAGGCAAACAGCAGCAGTACCACAGCCCACAGCTGAAACAAATGTGATTCTGTCGATTCTTAGATCAAGCTGCTCATACCTTAGGTTTCCTCCTAAAGTCTGATGGCATGTGACAGACACTTGACAAAAACACTTAAAACAGCAAAGCTATAAGGTTACCAAATCCTGACATGATGTATTGCAAGGGAACGGGATAACTAAAAAAGCAAAACAACTGCATCTTCTCAGAGAGCTCATAATATCCAAGATGCTTGACTCTCCAGTTCATGACACATGCTGCAGTGTGAAATTTAAAAATGCAAATCACATTCGAGCACCTTCCTTTAACATGGCATCCATCACACACAGACAACACTGGAAAAAAACATATGCACCGGCTTCAAACCAAGAGCCTGGAAAAGAGAAGACCTTTAGCTACCGTAAGAAAATATTTTCAAAGTATATACTGCCCTCCTGTGTACAACTCAGTATTACCTCCAACAGCTGCTACCTGTTTCAAAAATTGAGAATAACGTAGTGCTGTGGTGTTCCAGATAAAGGAGGAACAGCAATAAAATCCTGGCAGGAGTGAACAGAGTGAAGAGACAGTTCAGACCAGGGCTGCTGGCAATGAGAAGAAGCTAATCACTGCCACTGGTCTTCATCCGCCTTTTATGAAGATCATGTTAAATCCCTAGCACCAGAAGCCAGGAGAGCTTATTAATTCAGGAGGTTCTACAGACCTCCTCCTCAGAGGCAAAACGTAAAGCACCCCCCAAGCTGTCTCTGAACCCTACCACAGTCAGTCTGTGAGACAAACCATTCAAGACAACAGAGATTGTCCACAAATGACTGACTGCTTTAACCATCAGTAATTCCTTCCAATTAAAGCTTGTAATGAATATGATAAGTTTGGCATACTTCTGCTTAAATACTTACCTCTTCAGAGATAATTTCTTTTTTGGAATATTTCTTGATACCCTTTTCAACAGTTCTGCTTTTTTTTTTTGGGGGGGAGAAGATTTTAACTGGATTAAAAGAACTACAGTATGAAAAATTAACTCTTTATCTCTGTTGAACAACGTTATGCTGAACAGGGGTACTACTGCACTACCATACATCACTTCTCAGTGTAATACTCACCACCGAACACTTCCCCTTTGCTTTTTATTTCACCTTGTCCTTTTAAGAAAAGCAGGTCCTCGAGCAAATTCAGAGCCATAGTAATAGATTCACCTGGTACACAATCTCTGTTTCTCATTGCAAGTCACATTTTCACTTGCAGAATCTAAATATTAAATTGAAAAAAACCCTTAAGATAAGAATAAGATTGATTTGAAAATAATACATATTTGTTTTCTAGGCATACCATGGCTTCATAACACAATTGAAAAAAAAAAAGAGTTTTTCAGATTAATCAGTTACTATTTGTAAAAAGTCCAGCATAATCTTGATAAAAAGTAAGTAAAAATGTCAGGAGCTAAGTAGATGACAGTTGCTAAATTCTGACAATGTTTACATTGCATACTCAAGAAGAGCATTATTGCCGAAATAGATTCTTTATTTCCTGAAACATTCCAAAACAGCAGTATACACAGTTGTAATCAAATATTAAGTCATATGCCATTGTAAGAAAGCATTGATTAGTGCAATTGAATTTTGTAAAAGGTCTATCAAAAAGATTTATTCACATTAAAACTCACTTTCCATAAGCAACTGTTAATAAAACATTACAATTTTATTCTTTGTAATAAAGTACTGAAAATCAACTGTAGTTTTAGAGATCACTGTATCTTTGTAAATGCAATGTGACATATGCGGCCGTTTTTAAATACAAAACACTATGACAATAAATTAAAAATTGAACAAATGGTGAAAGACCAACAAAACCATGCTGACCCAGCTGTATGACAATTTCCAGTGAATGCTACCTTTCTTTTGTGCTTCTGCAACATAAATATACTGCTTTGTATTGCCAATGGTAAGATTTTGTAAGATATGTTCCTAGCGCTAAAAAAGTACATTGCCCAAAAAATATTATTTATGGCACAGAAAAGTTAAATTATCTCTCTGTTGTTCAAGGTTCAGGCAAGTTAAAATGAACTTAAGTATACAAAATAAAAAGTACTGGAAACACTAGAAAAAAATTCAAGCACATACATAAGTACCCCCAAATTCAAAATAAAATGCATGATGCCTTTACACTGAATAAATTATCTCAGAACTTCAGTATGGCAAAGCTGCCCAAGAGCATAATCTCCCAGTTCCTTCCAAGGAAATATTTTTGTACTTTGCACACATTTAGTACTTTCTTCAGTTCCAAATGCCAGTGCTGCTGTTCGGGTAACTGATTAAGTGCAACATTTAGTATTTGATAAGATGTTCATTTTTAAAAATGACATTACATTGTAAATGGTTACATATTAAGATCCTGGGGGACATAATACTGTACGACCCTCCTTTTCCAAATCATTGTTACCCAGCCAGCTGGGTAATGAAATCTGCATTATTTGTTTTCCACTGTTGATGGGCATCCTTCATCAATAGCAGCCATCTCTCCAGTTCCCATCCCGTATTGTGCTGAGTGATGAAAGTGGCTTTGGAGGCTGAAGAAAACTGTATTAACCAAATGATAGGAAAAAAATTGACAAAACAAGTTATATTTCATGTGAAAGATCAAGGTAACAAACATCATTTACTTCTGCAGTGACACTGGCTTTGGGGCTTGCTCAGAGACATCACTCTGGTATATGTCTGGTTACATGTTAATGCACACGTAAAGATCTATGGTGAAATCAAGGTCACTTCCAGTAAAACCCCATCACTGTTAATGGTCTTAAGAGCATAAAAGATTTGTAAAAAGGAATTAGGAGAAAAATTGTAATCATGCATGAGATGCCTCTAAATGGGAAGATTTGTTTTTTCAGGGCTAAAGACGATAAAAACTTATTTTTTGTCACTATGGGCAGCAGACATCTAATGGAAAACTCTCTCCAAAAAGTTGTTGTGCTCAGCATGCTCATGAAAAACCAGGACTTTATAAAAACACTATGCAGGCACTAAAGAATTTTATCAGTTGAACAACTCTACCAAGTTCTGCTCCGGACCCTCTTATCCAAGACACATAATGATGGGTTTCCATCCCACAGCCACAGTCAAGAGAGCCACCAGGTCCAGCACTACCATTCCTGCAGGGAACTCACTGTCCTCTGGGTCCCCACCCTCACACCTGGGCTGCATCTCTCATTCATCAATGAGGAGTTACAAAATGCTTGCTGACCATCTTCCAAACCCTCTAGGTACTACCGAGGCAACTATTTCAAATAAGACTAAAAAAAGGAAAAACAACCATCTGATTTGATCCAACTGCCAACTCACTGATGACAAGGCAGGCTCTACCTCTAATTTGCCACAACCATAATTTTGTTACACCAGAATTGGCTGAAAATAATGTATCTCAACTCTGTGAAACTATTTCTCACAAAACCAAATCTGTGTCTTGTTTTCACATTACTCTGCTTTTGCTATAAGCTACTGATGCCTCCTCTCCCTTCCAAATGCTTTTGGCATTAAAAAGGCAGAGGTATGTTGTAAGGTATGTTGTAAGGCAGGCTGGCAGTCAGCAGAGTAGCTTCTTGCCTCTCTGCTACAACTGCTTTTTTAGTGGCAAAAACACTGCACTTAAGTAAAAACAGTTAGTTACACTTAAGATTCAGCCAAGCTGCTTTTATGTAGCTCCACTTTGCGGCAGCATCGCTTATCTTTGATATAAATCCAGTTCACTTGAGACATAGAACTGCCTCTGCTGTTTTCTGCAACTGCTGCCTTTTTTTTTCCAGAAAAAAAAAAAGAAAAAACTATGTTTAATTATCTTCAACAAAAAAAAAAAACAACAACAAAAAACCCACAACAAACAAAACAAACAAACAAACAAAACCAAAACAAAACAAAAAAAAACAGAGAGGGCAAAAATAAAGAATAATTAAGTTCAAAACAGCTGTCAGCTGTAAGAATACTTCCATGTATCCAGAGCTGAATCTCTGCTACAGGGCACTGGACAAGAAAATGTGCCAGCATTGAAAACCATTTTAAACAAGCACAAGGTGTCAGTATGATGTCACATGCTTTGAGACAACAGTTTTGGAGGGTCTGTAGTCCATTTTTACTTTTCCATCACCAGCTGGATTGCAGTGACTGACTCCAGTGCAAGACAGCAGGAACAAGCTAGCTTTGGCTCTACAAGTGTGCTTACACTCCTTCCATGCCTGTGCCTGGCATCTGGCATGATCCAGACCCTGAGCTGCTGATTGACTTCCTACCTTTAGGCGGACCCTGTCCCATCTGTGGACTTGTCTGGATACGGGGACTGTCGGTTGACCCTGGTCACCACCAACGCTGCTTTTGCATGGGCACTGTGGGGCAGCCTTAGCTGTCCCACTCAGGTCCCAGCTCACCTTATCCTGTGAGAAGCTGCCTCCGCTGCCTCTCACACTGCAGAAGGTTAGAAAGTGGAGAACTGGAAGGTAGGGGTCTGCAAGAAGCCCCAGGCATGGAACTGGAAAAGGCTGAGGGTTGTGTGGATCCACTTTAACAGGAAGGAAAAAAAGCTGCTGCCTTACTTGTAAGGCTAAGAGATGATGTTACCATCACAATTTCTTTACACTACTTGTGGGTGCATGAATCTCTGATGGCAAGGAGAAGATTTTTTTGGCCAAGTTAATTATCTTGGCTGTTATAATTTTATTTTACAAATTATTAAAAGCACTCCCTCATCCTTTGTTTGATTCTATGCAGTAAATACTGAAGTTCCCTAATGTAACCCCTATATAATGTGTCTATATATATATAATGTCTCTCTCTCTATATATATATAATCTGTATTCTGTTTTAAGAATCTAGAATACCAGTAACATAGCTACTTAACAGTCTGGCCATAGGTACAAAGACACAAATGTGCTCTGAATGTGCACTTCTCCCTGAACATCTGATTTATTCAAAAAACTCAAAAGATTTGTTCTGCTTTTAACCAAGTCATGACTAAAAACACTGTTTAATTCTGAAAGAAGTTTAGAGTCTTGAACTGATAATCAGAAATATCATTCCTTAGAAATGACAACAGAGATAAAAACCAACAGGGAGAAAATCTGCCTGATGGCTAAATGCCCTCCAAGGAAAGTCCACATGAACTGAAACCACCTGTATTTTTCCACATGCATCAATGAAATTAAATGAGGATATTAAAGAACTGTATGCTGAGCTCCAATCTACCTGTGCTTTTTGAGTCCTATAAACTTGTCATTCCCACAGTGCAAAGACCATCCATCTTCAACGATCACTGGTTTGGCTCTATGGCAACATATGATGCTGCTAAGGTACATTTGAAGGAAAGAAGACAAGAGCCCAGACTTTTTGGACTATAAATAGCTTTCTTACTGATTTGAATCAGCTTCTAATAAAAACAAGTGTTGAGAGTACAGTGTCTCACCCTCCCACTGAAATGTCTTAATTTTGTTTTTCTTTAATATTGTCTGAAAAGTTACAAAATAGCAAGGGACTTTCTCACATGTTGCTATGAAAGATTTAAGAGCTCTCCAGAAGAACATGAGGTTGAGGAAAGGAAAAAGAAAAAAGGAAAGAAAACCCTCTACTATAAAGAACTCTAACTGAGAAAGTTCCAGCTGAGAGCAAAGGAGGTTATAATAGAAATCTCATGGTACAGTCTTCATCAAAGAAGAAACCTGACAGCTCTTTATCAAAGTTTCACTGCAGTTGGTCAAAATCTGTTGTCAGTCACATCAGTGTAATCCCCAAGTAACTCAACCAAAGAGAGAATGTGAACAATTGAGCTTATTCTGGATACAGCTACTATGAAGTGAAAAGTATAAAAATGATGAGAGCTAAACAGTGACAGTTTATCCAACAGAAAACGAGGCGGTCACACAGCAGGCCCTCACAAGAGGAGGGATGTGTGCAATGGGAAGAAACCGTTGGAAGAGTTAACACAAGTTGACAGAGGTTTTCTTTGAGAAACTTCATCACCTATTAATTACAGAACATGCAGCTAGAGTTTAACTCCCAGCTGTGATAAGGTGATTAAAACATAGTCTCCTTCCTCAAGCTTATTTTATTGCTTGATTTAAAAATAATTCATTTGGAGATTAAATTCTCTTGGAAAAATGCAAAAATGCATTTGCTTAACAGTACAGCTCATTGCAAGTATGTGATGCTCCAGGATTCCCTGTTTGCCTATTGTCTCCCAGCTAGAATGGAAAAGATGATGGTTCAACCCAAGACTGTACTATCCAGGATATTTCCTTCCTCACAATGTGTAATGTGTCACAACTCATATTTTTACAGTCTACTGCCATTTACAACAACAGGGATGTAATTCTTTCTATTTGAGTACTCTAAGATTTGCTCATTCTGTGACACTGAAATAGTAGTTGGCACATGTCTGGAAGAAGCCACATATGTTCATGATATGAGGTTTCTGTTTGGTTTGATTTCTTATTGATGGGTGGCAATCCATTCCTATTTATATATGATTGCACAATATCAATTATCATAGTTTACTAAGGGCTACCAGCAAGCACTGTCCCTCACTATTTCTGGCAAGAAACCTTTGCCCATTCAGTTACTCCCCACTGGTAGACAGAAACTCTTATGTTTTAGAGCTTCATGTGCAGGAAGAAAACAAAATCCCACAATTTCAGCTTAAGCCATCCCCACAGGGACAGAGGCCTGTTTAACTCTTACCTTCGAACTGGCTGTGCAATTTTACTTCTGGGAATGCCACTCCCATTGACGGCCAGCGATGGTCTCGGAAGAGCACTGCGCCCCACAAGCCCTTGACTGGCAGTCTTGTTTGGCATTGGGATCCCAGTGTTAGAATATAACTGCGAGTTGCTGGACACTGGAAGACTGCTACTGCTACTGCTACTACTACCTTGTACGGTTGGGCTTACGTAGGCAGTAGCTTTGAGAGGCTGTCTGACAGACACTGGAAAATGTCCCACACTGTGAACTCGGTGCTGAAGCTGTCCTGGTGATGGAACTGCAAAAAGTGATAGAAAAGGAAGTAAGAAGGTCACTATGCAACAAATAAGGCCAAGTAGTAACGTTCGTTTCTAGATAGATCGGAATAGGGATAAACACATCACTGTACCATTTACTTACTGACTACGAACTGCTCAAAAACCCCTTGGATCCAATGCTGTATCCAGTAACCCTGCACTGAACTAAAATACTGTGTTCCACCCCCATACTGAACAAAAATACTGGCTCATATTCATCTTTCTTTCTCCCCTCAAAGGGGTTTCGTTAGCTGTTATAAGCACACTAAATCCATCTACACAATCAGAACGTTAAACAGGAGAAACTGCTAAAGGTATAAATTAATTAGTTACTGTTAGAGCATTTCAATTTTTGGAAGGTGGTTTGCAAGAACTACATCTTGCAAGAACCACATTCAAGCATTATGAAACATCAGAGAAGTCTAAGCTTTCTGTATAAAAACAATTAAAAGGCTATAAAAAGGTCTTGAATGTAGCAGCACATTCCAAGGCTGATGTTATGTAAACTATCATTTTAAATCAATGCTCTGAGTTCCAGAAGCTTTATATATAGATTTTTCTATCCAATCCTGCCCTCTGGTGTACATTTGACATGCATCAGTTTCAGAGTCCATGTATCAAAAGCGAACTGTCAAAAGCCTGAAGCACATAAACTAACACAGCGTGTCTAGAGCAATCAGTTTTCAAGTCTTTGAAAAAGGACATCTTAAAATCATTTAAATTTAAATTCAAATCAGCAGAAATTTCAGGGCTGTGATTCATTTAAACTATATTGGCAACATATTGTCAAGGAACTCTGATCATAACAGCTCCTTAAATACCCCAGTGCAGCCACTTATTAGAAATGTTTTTTTTTAAAAATTACTTCAGAAAAATTACATTTTATATACACACAGATATATAAGAGCATAAATACACAGAGAAATAGAGATTTCTAAAATATTAAATAAAATTAAACTCTCAATGCAATACCATGCAAATTCATGTGGGAACCTGAACTGCTTCCATTCTCCTATTCAAACAGGAAAAAAATACAGGAAAAAATACAACAAAATAAATCCATCAGTCAAGAATATTTTCCAGAAAAGATGTAATTTAAAAGTTTTGAAGACATTTGTAAATTCTGCTCAAATTTGAAAGAAAACACCTGAAGTTTTTTCCAACTTCTCCCTCCAAAGTCTCACGGGACATGGAAGGCATAGGTTAAATCCTTTCTTCTGCCTACGTCCAATGAAATACACTTTTTCCATTTCCTCTCAGAGTACCTCAAGCACTGTGCTAAAAAAGATGAGTTTGGATCTTGATCGATTTTGTTCACATTCTACATTAATAATTCAGCATCCACTAGATCAATACTCCTTTCATTTCCCCCATCAAGAAGACACCTAAATTAAACCAATTACAGTCATTTTAATTTCCCCACTCAACAAGTATATTATACTCAAGGATACAATGTTTACTACATTTGCTTGGAAGAAAGTGGCTCAAGTTCAGTAGGGGAGAGGTCATGTATTTTAAGATAGTATTTATACAGTGGACTGTAAACCCAACATTGCATACAGTATCAAGAAAAGCAGTTTTTAATTGTAGCACCAAAACTGAAAATGTAAACTTACGTAAATTAATTGGATTATTGGTGCTTCTACAATACTACTACTACTTATTATCAAAATTTCAGTTTTAAAGCTGGCACAAGATGACTGGTCAAGGAAAAACAAAGGTGAAGAAATGCTCAATAACAAGACTGGCAAAATTTGCTTTCAACAACAGAAATTTTGAAATCCTGAATTATATTAAAATCTGGTGCAAAAAAACCAGTTTGCTTTTAATTTTTTCACAGAACAAAGGATCAGTGACTGAGACGTGTATTTTACCACTTCATCAATTCCTTGCATGCAGCCTAAAAACACAGGTACTTACTACTTGACTGCATCCTTGAAATCCCATTACTCGCTCCATGTAAATTGGAGTCAAAGCTCTGACTGTTCCTCACAGTGACGGGAGAACCAGCAAAGCCAGCATTACTGTTAATGGTGGGGGTACTTGGCATCCGAGTGAGGTTAGGCATGCTTCTTCGAAGTTTATCTGAAGCAAAAGAAGACAACATCCACAGTCAGGTCAGAATTTCCAACAAACACAAGCAGCCTCCAAGTAATTTCTGTAGAAAACCAAAATTATAACAAATTACTTCAAAACAAAGAGAGGTTTTGTTCTGCAGGAGTAATATGAAAATACTACTGATGGTCTAAAATGCTACTGACTATTTTTACACCACGATTATTCACAAGTAATTTTAAAGACACCAAGAAGCAGTACATTTGCAGAATTGCAAGGATTTAAATAATAAAATGTCATAATAAGGGTAGGTTTCACACAGATGTGTAAAGTAGGTCAGATGCGTTTCTTCGCAGAGAATACAAAAGCAAGGCTGCAGTGACAGTCAGACACAGGAATTTACACTCTGGATGTTTAAAGACTGGTGAGATGAATCCATCCTAAGTGACTAAAGTCTTGCTTTCAGGTGCCAATGAAATGCTAAAAAATTCCATTCAGAACCTAACCTTATTAGCATGTTAAGTTTCTGCAGGTGGCCACATGCAAAACCTATGAAGTCTTGATGCTGTTCAGTTGCCTGGAGCACTGGGTTGCTCTGAAAATCAGAATTTTCAAATCTCATGCTTCTCCCTCCTACCTCACTTGTGGTACCTGATTTGGTAAGCATTTTCAGAATAGGTCTGTAGGGCCTTCCACAAAAAGAAAGCTGCAAATGCCCCAAATGTTTCTGGGGCAGGTTCAACAGCTAAGGCAAGTGTCTTACGAGGTCAGAAGACATCTGCAACTCCACTCACACTAACTGATGTGGAGAGAGAGAAGCTGAAACCAAGTCTGACATCTCAAGACTTCCCAACCACAACAGCATCAGGTAATGAGGTAAAACTCTTTTGGTCTCTTCTGCTGCCGGGCCAAAAGGAGATGATTCAGTTCTGCATAATCAGAAGAGACTGGCAGGGGCAGAAAGGCACAGACTGAATGACCTGGTCTGAATTGCCTCCTGTGACATGACAGACTTCAGTAAATAACCGCTCTGGGGAAATAATGGGTCGTTTATTAAACTATCATTAACACACCACCAAAGGTTTGCCTGTTGGCCAGGCTGAGGAGCAGCGGTATGCCCTGCTGAGGTGGCTATGTCTTTCCTGGTACCATGGTCATCATAGAGGCCACCAGCACCTGTTCCTGACGTAGGTTCCAGTGCCTGGCAGATGTTTGTCCTCAGTTCTTACACTGCAGCAGAAAGCAGGGGTATGCTTGTGTTGTAACAGGCAGCTACAACTGCTCTCTCCAACAGCAAGCAGGGCATTTCCAGATTGATGTTTTGGTTTTATGCATAGGAACAATACACGACACTGCTTGGAACTGCTGGTATGGGTCGACCTCCTAGCTCACACAGGGCAAGTTCAGTACACAGAAAAAACATATTTATTCAGAAATCTCTGTTGCTCAGTCCACATAAATACATAACCTATTTAGCACCATCATGAGCTTCTCTAATCCTTAAAGCTGCTAACAAGTGAAAAGTAATACGAAGTGACAGTACAGTTCTATCTATGCAGGTTATCAGGAGTCACTAACAGTAACTTCAACATATGTGATGCCTGTGTAACTCCAGCAAACCGTGTCACAGCAAGGCTACATCATCTCCAGCAGAAAAAGGAAATGCAAGATCTGAATCCCTGGCCAAATCCTAATAAAGAACCACTTAAAGGGTAATCCTTTATCAAAGAGTTAGAATTGTACTTTAGTGACTAATTACTGACACTGGCAGACTGAAACTGTCAACGGCATTGCAATGAACATTAGCAAAATGATTACCACTGTGGTTCAGTCAGGTGGTAAGTATTAATATCACTGATGAAACAATGATAAAAGTTATCAGGCTTCCAAAACTGTCCTGGAGATGCAAACAATGGCATCCACAGAGCTACTGCATGTCTCTTTTTTCCAAAATACTCATGGATTTTGCAAACTGAAAAGGGAACTGTCCTCTTGTGATGCAATCCTTGGCCCAGAGTGGCAGAAAATTCATGAATATGGGATGTCTGTAGCTACTGTTAATTCTAGCCTACCCTTTTAAGTCCTAGGTCTTGAAATCCTTGGTCAACACTACAGAACTTGGCAAAAAACGTTTGAGCAGCTGGATGGTGGTAGGGAAGATGGCACTGCATAAAACAGCTTTTCTAATATCATGTTGTATAGCAGAAGTTCTTAAGACTCTACATGCTCTTCGACTCAGGGACTGCATTAGCCACCCCAGGCACAACCTGCGCCTTCAACTGTCCAGTGGATGCAGCTGCAACAGCAGATAAATAGGTACAAAAGTAGCCTGGATTTCCTCCATGTCACGGGTGGCCACATCTTTTGCCTCCTCTCCATTAGTCCCTTCTTGTTCCAGCAGTCTGCTCTGCTGCTGATTCATTCAGTCCTCAGACAGCAGATTCCTGCTGCACCTGCAAATTCTCATCCATCAATCAGCTGCATTACTTCTTTGATGGGTCCTTGTGTCTGCTGAGATAAATGGCCCTGAAAAGCAATGAAAATAGCAGGTCAGTTTTGTGTTTGGGGAAAACCCAGAAACGTTCGCCTTGATGGCATTTTGCAGCTTTCATCTCCTTGGATGATGCATCTTCTTTCATCTCTTTCTTGAAGTTTGTTCTGTCACCTGCTCCCCTCCTAAGAACTGTGGAAATAGTCTTACAGATGTTTTATTTGTAAATGAAATGCTGGCACTTGTGAGCTTAATATATGGAAGCAGAAGGTAGAAGTTATGTGATTTAAATATTATTTCAGGCCACAGAGATGTGACTAGGTATAAGCTTGCTGGAAATATATAAGAAAACAAAAATATTTTTCCAAGCTGCCAGTAGCAAATGTTTCCTTTCCAGACTTCTTTGCTCTCCTGAGACTGATGAGAAAATTAACAGAAAGGAGAAGTGAAGGAGTAGAGCTGAGATGTATTCTCAGGTGAGAAATAATTTGCTCAAGTAGTCCTGTTTATGTTGAATGCTGAAATTTGCTACAGTTTCTGCTACCTCTTCTGCACTTATCTGGTTCAGTGGCAAACCTAAAAAAAAAAAGATCAGTTCCTTGCAGCCTGTTCTGTTAGGAAGATATGGATAATAACACTAGGGATTAGGGACTCCAAAGAACCTACACCTGGTTCAGGAAACAACTGGAAGTGGCACTTAGTGCCATGTTCTAGTTGACAAGGTGGTGATCAGTCGAAGGCTGGACTTGATAATCTCAGACATCTTATCCAACCTAAATGATTCTGTGGTTCTGCAGCATCCATAGTTACTGTGATCCATTAATGAGTCTCAACTATGATTAAGGCCGAAACAAAAATGATTCTTAAGCAGCATGAAGCCACATAAAGCATCACAGATGGCATCTTCACCTTTCCCAGCCTTCTTTGAGATATAATAGCATGACCTACAGACACTGTATTGCTGAAATATTTGAAGTGTGAAAAAAATTCAAGAATAGGTCATGCAAGAGGAGTTAATAACTCATTCCTGGTTACTATCACCTTCTCATAATAATTCTTGCATATACACATGTGCTTGTTATTTCACGAGCATTCTTTAGGGGGCATACACTGCCCTTGTTTCACATATCTTCAGTAGAATGAAACACCAAAATCACCTACTGCATGTTTACACTTTTCCCCATATGTAGCATCCATGCTGAATTAGCCCACTGTCTACAGCACAAGAAAAACTGGGAATTGTGAAATACAGGATCGTCTGCCCTCAACGGAAAATGTGCATGAAAAGGCCACCCCCCAGCACAGACCATATTCACTACTGCTGAGAAACAGGTTGAAAAGGAGGCAGAAGTGTCCCTTATTTTGTAAAACATTCCACAAAATTACAGTGAAGACAGCAGTTGGCCTCTTACTCAGCTGCTTCAGTTCTGACTTTTTCCAGGAAGCTCTTCTCCTGATGCTATCTCTTCTCTGAAGTCAGATTGGGATCAGTGGCCCAGCTTCTTCCTGGCAGGAGACCAGAACACGCAGTACCTGCCTTCTGTCTTCTGATCCCAGCACCGCTGGTGGCTGTCCCCATTCCACTGCTTCTTTTTTTTTCCCCTTCCCTGACCTAATACTATCACCAGCTGCAGATTAATGTCCGTGCAGCACGCAAACAAACCTTGCCCTCGGAGCAAATCTGACCCAGAAGAGGTGCACTCTTGGTGGGCTGCCAGATGGGGACTTCTGTAGCAGTTCTTGATAAGTATCATCTTCTATCAGCCAAGATAACTCAGCCAATGAGGCTCTCCTTGCAAGGAGGGCTTAAGATGACTCTACAGTGAAGTGTCTTAAATCACATCTTAAAACACATTTATTCCTTCATTGTTATTCTCTGCAAGTGTTGGCAATGTTTTATTTGAACAAAATGACTCATGAGCCTTGCCAAAAGTGCAGTATCATTAAGGAATGTGATACAATAAATAAGAATTATTATTGGCAATATATCACTGTTCGAGCTACGTTAGCAATTTCTTACACTTATTTAATTCCTTTACATAAACCCTGCAAATTCAATTCTACCTTATCTGTATTGTATGCACAAATAAGCTGATGTAAAGAAGACCTGAGATCAGTACCTGCAGTACGTTTGTTATAGTTATAACATTTATGACATCCCAAACACACCACAGTCTTATTAATGGTCTGTGGAGTCATCAGCTGATACAATAGAGACAGTGGTAAAAATGCAAATATGGATTAAAAACTAAAAGTAAGTCCTGAAGTTAAGTGAGCAATGCCATTCTTTATGATTGCCAATACCTACATTTCTCTAATGTCGAATGTTTTATTCAAAACTATTACTTCATCTCACCCCGGCTTCACATGCATATGTTTGCCACCACAGTCAGTTACAGCCAATTAAAGATTTTTCCATTATCCTTCCATGACTCCTCCCACTGATCATTATTCTCAATGTAACTTCAAAGGTAGCAAAGTAAGATTATTTTTCTTGTTTTCTTTAATAAAGTCTGCAACAATTTCCTAGAAAGAATTCTCCGTTTCTTACTGAACAAGAGAGGTTATGAGCAGAAAACCACTTCATAAATTAGTAAGAACAGACTTTTTCCCACCTCTTCAAACACACAAATCAATGTTAGTCTGCACTGAACCGATATATATCTAAACACCAATTTACTGCTCCTGAAATGCTGGTCTTCTATATCTGCCTGCAGTTTGCTTTGAAAAAACCCAAACAACAAACAGAAACCACATTTGCAGCTTTCAAAATGAGGAAAGGGTGCAACAGCCCATAATTTTCATAATATTTTGCCTGAGAAATATTACTCCTCAGAAGAGCGGGCAATAAATTAACTCATAACTAGTAATTTCTGGAAAATAAAAGTAAAATTTTTCAAGTGAATGGTATCTGTGGCCTGTTTATGAAGGTCTAAGCCAAGGTAGAAATTTAAAAACCAACACGAAAAGGTAATGGAAAATATATATTAAAAGTAACCAGATAGAATGCACTGCTACTCCATGAATGATGTATTTTCATCTGCCCCTTCTTACTGTATTATAATAAGTTCTTTCTTTACCAGGAATAATTTGTCCAAAATACAAAGTTGCCAATTTTCAAGCATTATAAAAATGAACCCTTAAAATGCACAGAAATAAGGGTTTCCAGGATAAAAGTTTATGAGTAAGCTGATCTCTGGAAAGTGGGCCTGAACACAAGAAAATCAATCCCATTTTCAGTAACTTGTCTATCCTGGATTTTGACTACTCTGGATGATTTCACAGCACTATAGTTCCGTTACTTCTAGTTTCAGAAAATTAGAAGTAATAAAAGGCATAAATACTAACATCTATTAAAAAATAATAAAATTATTAAATAAAAGTAAATTATATTTGTTAAAAAGTTAAAATGAAAGCAATTACTTCTGTGTCACAGTAAGTAAAAGAAGTGCATATTTATGGACAACTTGAAGCAGAAAACAGCCTGGTTTTATGACTTTTGGTTGCATTTGTTATATGAAAATGACTATATGTAAAGTATTCTTGATATTAATAGATAGCAATATTTTAAGTTGCTAACTATTAACTTCTTCAAATTAGAGAAATGAGAGGTATAAACATAAATCTTTCCATTGTAAACATATTAAAAAGCTTTGTCAAATTATAAAACACAAACTAACTAGATGGACTCATCTTAGCTAATTACAACAGATACTCAAACGCTATTCACCTCCTCTCTCAGATCTTCTTTAAATGATCTATTACCGACCCACTAACTGATTACAAAATTCTTGAAAACCAGAATACCTTAAAAAGTTCACAAATGGAATTTTTCTGATGTAACTCATCATTATAGACAATTCGGCTGATTTAGGGAGCATGTGCAATTAAACAACAAAAAACCCCCAAACCTATTTCATGCAAAGCTTTTCTATTTAGTGTATTCTTGCCAGAACTGGAAATAAAACCTATTAGAAAGCAAAGATAACATACACACTCTACAGGCAACAGCTGCAAAAATGTTGTGTAAGAGGTTAACAGGTACACCTACTGTCTATGCTACAAGTGGCCCCAAAGACACCTTAAAGACATCGTAACATATTTCACAATATACATACATTTTCTCGTATCTGCCACTTTCTGCTACTGTTTACCAAGACCCTTTCAATACAGCAAGCTGTTGGGGCCTGGTAGTAAATGTGACTGGCACTACTCACTCTGACATGGGTGGGATAAGACAAGATAAAGAACCTGGGCCTGAGAGTGTGGGCTAAATGGTGTGCTATATTAAACCAGAAGTATATATTTAATTTTTTTTGTACAGCAATTTAAAACAGGGCAGAGCATCAAAATTACAGCAGGGGCAACACTTTGCTATAGTACATTGGCAGGAACAATGTGTGAGCTCAAAATTATGGCTTCAAACACAGCTGGAAAACATCTGTGAGCCTATTCTCACCCCAAGCAAAGGCAGAAGATTAGCAGGGTGCCGGAAACTGTAAACAATTTCCCTGCTACCTAAAATACAAACCTGTGGATGGAGAACAAACACACCACTGGTTATAGGGAGAGATTAGACAACTAGTGCACAAGTGTCTATGTAGAGGTACCTCATGACATCTGACAAATCCTGGGTTGTCTGTGGCATTTAAACAGAACTGACACAGGGCGATGGTGAACCCAGGGGGCATAAAAGTACCTCATGTAGCTCTGTGTGGACAGCTGAATTGGGCATACACAGGTGGGCACCCACATCTCAGAATCTAAATGTAGAACCTTCTCATCAGGCAACCAATATTATACTCTGAAAAGAATTATGGAAGTTTTCCATGTTTATCACACCTTTAGCATATTTGTTACAGTGCAGGTAATTAAATTAAGTACCTCAACCAGAGTGAACAAACATCACTAGAAGCAGGCAGGGCAGTATCCGTCACACCATTTGCCTAGAGGCAAAAAATCATACTTAAACTAAACACAGAGACTAGTTTGGAGGAGACTTTGTGTCAAAGCTAAATACTGTTTTTCTACCCCGGACAGAGTATCAAAATTCAACAGTTACTTGCTGCTTACACTTCTTTTATGGAGAGTTCTGTGAATGACCAGATGAAACAGGGGCCAGACCCTTGACAGCATATACAAGAATACATGTGATCTCTTTGGAGGAAGAGAGAGGAAGAAAGATTCAGGAAGACTGTTGGAACGGCCAAGACCAGCAGCATGTGGTATGTACGATCTTTATTAATTACAGATCATACTTTCCACATATACTGAAGGCAGAAACAAAATAGTTCAGCTCTTCCATCTATCACATCCCTCCTTCTCATTTGCCTTGGTAAACTGTTAACAGTGTGGAACACACCACAATCCACCATACTGAGCATCAGACAAATTTCTATTCTGCAGTCTATCTCCATTCAATCTGCAGCAGTTCTTGAGAGACAATTAAACTGTTGCCAAGATGGTAAGTGCCAATGAGATGATGATGTAATACTACTCAGACATATTCAACACAGTGAACACTTTACTCCTTGTCTCTTTGTCTGCCAAAAGAACACAGCCAAAGTAAAATGTTTCTCACCATCAGTATTTGCCATTTATATGGATCACAGCTGCATGAGTCAGTGGCTGAAAGTGTAGAAACTGAAGAGACAATTCCCCTCTAAAGACAGTGGTATAAGACTGTCTGCCATTCCTCCAAGCAGGTAACTGAAATCACACATGTCCAACTTCTGGGTGACACCAAACACATTATCCAACACCTCAAAGTTCTCGAGAAAAAAGTCAACCAGGTGGTAAAATTGATGGTCTTTTACATTAATAGACTTACTAGTTAATGAACTGGGAGTGTTTCTAATGCCCTAAAGGTTTCCATGTGGGAATCCAGTGCTTAAGTTCCACTGACATGGAACATGAAAAAAATCATTCGAAACACATTTGAGAGCCACATAAAAAAAAAGAAATAATAATAATAAAAAAACCCCAAACCAACTCAAAACTACATCCTGTCCTTCCTGAAACAAAAATGCTGCATAACTTCCCTTTCTATCTCCCAACATTTCTGCAAGCCCCGCAATACTGTCCCATTCTTGTACCTCACCAGCAAGAAAAATAACACTGAAATTAATATGGCATATATGCTGCACCAACAGACAACCACGTTGCTCTACCCTCTGCTAACATCAGCTTTTCTTAAATACTGCCACTTGTCAATTATACTTCCACGACATGGCTTACTTTGAATGCAAGTGCTTTTGGCACCAACCTGTCGTGTCTTATTTGTCAGAAAAGCAACATGCATACCTGTAGCACTATAAATAGCAACTGTGTGTTGTTTTGAACAACACGTTTATTTTCTTGCCCAAGGGTGAGCTGTAACCTCTAATGTTACAAACAAGACCCTGGCTGGAAATGGACTGCTTAGAATTAACTTGGAGGAAAGACTGAAGAAATAAGAAAGTAAGACACAGCAGAAGGAAGAAAATTGTGATCATAACAAGAAAAGAAAAGTAGTTAACAGCAACAACGTAGGGAAACTTAAATCATGAGTAAGCACCAAAAGACAAATCTTCCAGAAGCTCTGGAATACATTTCAAATGCAGTGCAAAAAAGCAGCAATGTCTCAGGATAGTTTGGGAGAGACAGTATCTCCCACCACTTTAATGGTCAGCCCTATCAGACCTAGAACAGGAGCAAGGTGTTGACCCCTGCCATAAGCACTCATCCTGGATTCACAGCACAGATGCATTAACAGCAAGCTCAGGAATAAGAAAGAGAATGAAAATCTGAAACCCCCGATTTGTATGTAACTGTATCCATGATGGACATGCATACATCAAGCTTGAAACACGATCAGTTCTTCTAACCAACTAATAGTCTGTTAAACATGCTCTTCTTTCCTTTTTTTCTTCTTTCTTCACTCGTGGTCATCCTTGCAGCATTTTAAAACAGATTAAAGCAACAACTTTCAGGACCAAGCCACAGATTACATTTTGTAGCAAACAAATGCTTAACAATAGCATATTTTTTTTAATCATCCACACAGGCTTAAATTATTTGTCACAATTTATGGACAAAATGGAACTGGCACTTGACGCAGAGAGAAGACCACTTCTCAGGAAAGCATGCAACCCACCTCCATTAATCCTATTTGGTTGCTGATCTGGAGTTTGGGCTTGAGGAGAGTAGTAGGGTTGCTGATAAGTATTTGTAGGGAATTGTGGGGAAGTAGGGCTTCTCCTGCAGTCCCGGATACTGGAGAAAGTCTGTGAGTGAGGGATCCCTCTCTGGAAGGGGGAGCAGCGAGTCAGACGTGGCTGTGGAGGTGGAAGGTGGTCAAACTCTTCCTCATCCTCAAGACTATAGCGATCATATTCCTGGTCACCACATGTCCCTTTCTTTCCCGCATGCAGAGGGACGCTGGAAGTGTGCCTTGACACAGATGCTGAAGTCGAAGCATAATCTTGCCTAAGGCCTGTAAATTCCAAGAGGAGGATGATTCAGCTCCTGCTAAGTGATTAACTCCTAATATGCACTTCAAGCTTGAAAACTAAGCAGGTAAGTAGACATAATTTTACACCAAAAATTGGATTTACAACATAACTAGGCTGAAGATCTGACGTAGGATTCATCTGATCTAATTTTCAGTTCTACCTTTTAGGCATTTAAGCCCAAATTATTTCCCTCAAGATCCCTTTTTAATGAAAAATTGAAAAAGAATACCGGTGTCTCCAAAAGATGGCTTAGATGTCTCTCTTAACATAAAATGCACCCCCTCACAAGGTACCTAGTTCTATGCCAATAAAAAGATTACATGAGTACTAGGTTTTTAACTATAAAATATTCTTAATTAGAGCAATTACACTCACATTAGTTTTTGACATTTTTTAAACTTATAACCCATGTAAATATTCTGGCTCTCCACCCTCTCTGAACCAGAAGTAGTTCCTGAAAGCATCTGGTCTCACAGACAAGGCTTAGTGGTAACACAACGGTCTTTTACATAGGTACACAATCCTACCACCCTTTTCTTAGAACACCAGGTTTTGAAAATCATCTTGCTATTAGCACTACCCCAGAAGAGCCTGTTTGCTCCAGGTCAAGTGAGAGGGAAATATTCACAACCCTTGCACATCCCCCCTTTCCCTAGCTGCACAGTAGCCAGGGAAAAAGGGGATGTACATCACATTTCCAGGAGCCAAGTAGCTCTGCCAAGAGCTGCAGATAACAGCTTTCCTAGATTTACAAAAAACCCTCAGCTTTAACAGATGTCTTTGCTTCATAATAGAAACTTCTTAATATGCTTCCTCTCCCCCTCCTCGAGTGGGAGTTTCTATTTGTGGCTGTGAAGAGAGCGTGCCTGCATGCACGTATAGAACTACCACTTTCCACAGGATTACATGGACAACAACTGTCACGTGCTCAAACATCCTGTTCAGCTGCTACTACATGGATACAACCACTGCACCTGACACAGATTAGAAGAAAACCCAGTGTTTTTCTTTCCAGTTTGCCAATGACCTAATTCAGAGCTAAGTACCTGAAATATTTTTCAAACCTCACTCTGAAGGAGATGAGCACAGCTGTCATTTAAGTTATGCAATCCTTGTTATATTTGATAGTCATAATTTTTTTCTTTTTTAAAATTAAAACACTTGCTAATTTCTCTGCTGAACATAATAAGTGCTACTAAATACTCAGCAAGTTTGCCTGCTGACAAGTGATCACTCTGCCTGCTCTGTCTGGTGCTTGCAGAGAGATCACTGCTCTATTTTTTCTTCACATTTTTTGTTTTATATAATCACTTATTATTTGGCATTTTCCTTCTGGCCCCACCTCTGAATTTCTCTTGCTTTTAATCTCACCAATTCTTCCTTGATGTCTTGCTTGATACTAATAGGAAGCAAGGAAGATACTGCACTTACTGTCTCAGTGACCTCTAAGACAAATGCCCTTTATTTATGAATAAATTTTCCAGTAATTACTATTTAGCCAAACTATAATCTTTGTCAAACAAGACTTTGGGCTCAGATTTGTGATAATCACTAGTTTCAAACCAAGATGCTAAATTTAAAGGCCCCAATTCAGTATTCGAAGGGGATTTAATTTCAAATTTCACCTGATAATTAAGAAAATCAAACTTGAGGCAAAGAAAGTGACAAGAGCTGCTTATTTTTGCCTTTCTCAGGCAAAAACGTATGAGAAAAATGTTTATCATCTTCTCTCTCCAGAAATAAAATTATTTCAATTAATGTGGTAAGACATTATAAATCCTCTAAATCTAAATGTACTTAACATATACAGATATACCAGTCTGAATTCAGAAAAATACAAACATCAAATTTTGAGACAACCAGTATCAGCTCAGATTAACCTGAACCCAATAATGTGCACATCTCCATGCAGGTGAAGAGTTTTTCCACCTGTCACTCAAGAGGCAACACCGTTTAAGAAAGATCCACTTGACTAAGACCAGACTGGAGCAGTTTTAACTGCAACAGGAAATCTTCCTTAAGACTATTATAAAAAAAAAAAAAAAAAAAGCCACCTACTCTCCTCCTGTAGACGAGCCATGATCTGAACATCAGTGAGATCCTGCAGCTTGTACCCCATTGAGATGGAATCATCTTCCAGTTCTGAAGTGCTCAGTTCACTGTCTACTGATGACTGTGGACTCAAAGGGGAACTCCTAGAAATGTAACCTATGTAAGAAAAAATAAACTTTAGGTTGCAAATATGTCTGGCCATCTTTCCTTCATGATCATCTGTCCTTTATACTACAGTAGCTTAATATATTTTCTGTACAGCACATAAAAACTTTCAGAAGTGTAGTTCCATTCACTAACAATTAGCAGAGAGCTTTGATACTGATGAGTAGTAGTAAGTGTAGTAATAGATCATGAATTCCTCTGCTTGTTCCCAAAATAGCATTGAATAGCCCAGATAATGAATAATTTATGCAACACAGTTCTGATACAGCTGAAATCAGTTAGTGTAGTCTAACCACATCTGAATTAGAATCTCTCTTATGGGACTGTGATTCTTCCTGCTCCGTTCTGAAATGCAAGCGTGTATATGTGTCACCAACATCTGGTCAGTACTCGGATGCCATATCAGAGCTGTTGAGCTAAATTTTATTGTTTCTTCTTTTTTTTAAATTGTTTATAATTATCAGATAAATCAATGACAGTAACAATTAAGATTGAACATTATGCAACAGAGAAAGCACTGCCTCTTTCACAGAGCTACCTTTTGGAGAAAGCTCCAGATTCCACTTTTTCCCTGCATTACAGCAAAACATAAACTACTCTGCAATTAGTTGCATGATCTAGTTGTTGTTACACTTTAAAGAAAAACCCTTCAACTAAAACAGTAAATCACTTTCTAATATCCTCTGGACCACCAGAGACCCATAGCCTGCAGGGCAAGAACTGCTGTGACCTGGCTCACCAGCCGTGCTTATGTCACAGATGTGTTTGCATCCTCTAGCAATGTTGAGAGCAGCCACCTAAAATTCATCCTACATTCAGCTGTTCTCTAACAATATCTTCAAAAGAAAAGGACAAGCAGGGGATTACTTTGCTTTGGAAGGATTGTAAGGAGCAAATGTGTTTGCTTTTTCAAATATGCAAGTTACAGCAGTCCCTGAGGTTCTGTAGAGGTAGTAATAGCTGTGCTCTTTTGGAGCAGCAGTGGGAAGCTAGACAAGATACCTGAGGGTATCTCAAATAGCATGAGATGCTTTCATTTAGGAACTAGATTTCATCCCACTGAATAGGGAAGCTTACACATTTCACTCACATGCAGACACCTACATCAGGCATTCAGTCTGGAGCTTCATCTAACCCACAGTCCCATATCCCTTAAAACAAGGCTTTTTGCAGTGATTTTATGAGTTGTAAGGAAAATTGTACTCAGATCTGTGTGACACTGATGCTAACTTCCTTAGCCCATGCCTGCTCCCATCAGCAATAAAATGCTAATGCCTCTTCCCCAGGAGATTATTTTCTCCACTGCCACTGCTGCTTAAGAGAAGTCACAGATACAAACTGACTGCTGATACCTGTACTGAAGAAGGAAAAATGCAAATCCTTGCAATCTACAGACCATAGAAAGTTTGTATTTTTCCCAGAACTCTGCGTCCCCTGAAAATCAGTGGTAAACATAAAATAAATATCAGATAGTAGCAACAATACCAGTTTGAAAACAGCCATGATTCTGACAGTTATTTTTATTATAGAGAAAGTCTCCTTGCAATTTCATTAGACAGCTGCACATATGTTTCTGCAGACACAAGAAATGGGCACCATGGGGCAGAAAAAAGCAGCAAAGCTGGGGACTGTTTAAGCTGACACAGTCACAACTATACTATCAGGTAAATCGTTATTGATGTTTACTAGTATCACTTTCCTGTAATATGCTGCATAACAGAAGATAACCTGTAGTTAATTTAATTAGGAAGATAACTTGCAGTTAATTACCAAATTTTAGGTCATTAAAAAAAAAACTCCCTATGAAATGTGAGTTTATACACAATCATCTGTGAAAAGTGTACTGCTGTTAAATGCTAGCAAGATTAGATTAAATTAAGCAACTCTGTAAGCACCACAAATCAACAGAAAGATAAGCATTACCTGTCCGTTCAGGTGTTAGTATTGCTTTATTGGAGGTTTTAGAGAAGCTGGGACTATTAAAGCCATTGGTATACGGGGTGAGTCTTGCAACAGGACTATAGGGAAAAGCCAAGGAGACAGGTGTAGAGAAGAGGTTCCGCCATCGGCTAGCTGTTAGGGATGCGAGGGAGGAGGGGGAAAAAACCAAGATTTATAGTTATTAATAAAATAGTGCTGCTAGAGAAAAAAATAATTTCATCTTAATCTGTTCATTACACATTTTTTACTTATTACAAAAGGAAAACAATGGAAAATTCAGCAGCAAATCAGAGGAACAGCACAGCCTTCTACATGTGTAAGTGTGCTTCAAAAGCTTTTCTAGCAAATATGTCTTGTTTACTATTTTCTACGTATACACCTTTTTGGTATATATTCATCACATACATCACTTGGTGCCAAATAACAGAGAAAGTAAAAACTGCTACAGTCAGTAGAGAAACACAAATGAAATTTTTAATGCTCTTCAAGGAATTGTTCATGGCAATCAATCATCACACAATTGAATTAGCAGCTAAATTATCAGAGGAGTTTAGAGACACAGGAGTAAAAGACGCTTAACCACCAAGTGCTAAAAACAACTGTAATCCCATAGCAAGCTTTTAAGCTACCATATTTTCCCTTCTCTTTTTACAGTATCAAATTCCTGATTGCATAACCATGGTTTTTTTTGTTTTTCACTGTTTCTGCAGGACCAACCAAACAACAGAACAAGGCATCTCTTTTTCTACATATTGTTTACAAAAAGCCTGCAAGGCATCTGGTCTTCTGAGCACTATCACAAAACACTCAGAGTAGGCAAAAAGAAAGCTAAAGGCTTATTTAATTTACATTTTCTTAGCTCATCCAGTAAAAATATTAATACAACTGTCCTGTGTTTTGCCTATTTTTAACACACCTTCAAAAGGTAAAACAAAAAACATCCACATGCTCTTCAGAAAATAAATACTAATGATAAAATTGTTTTAAGTAGAAGGCAAAGGAAAATTTTAAAAGTATAAATTTCAGAGAACCCATTAAGATACAAGTAAATATGAAAAACATATGATAGTATTACCCTCTTTTTTTTCCTTGATAGAATCTATTTTGCCCTCAGAAATGTTATGTACAGCCACACAAGAGAGGGAGCTAGGAACATACCTATACCTAACTTTGGAATCAAGGGCATAATCTCAATGCTTAGCAGCTGTACTTTGTAGTGTCACATGCCACAAACTGGTTTTCAAAACAGAAGGGCCCAAAAGCCCTCAAAATCTGTTCTCCACCACATGGCTACTTTAACAGCAGAAATCTGCTGTGTTATTTGGACCTGTTCATCTGGTCGCCTTAAACACTTATAGATATTACAAAAATACTCAGGCTCTGTATTTTCAAACCTGACAGCAAAAAGATTTAGCAGGACATACAAACTTTATTCCTCCTTCTTGCTAACATCAACACCAAGTGGTCATGGGGACAGCAGGGATATCTCATTGATGGGCTGACAATCACATCCTTGCAACCTTTTGGAGTAATCAGTCTGTCATCAGTCTAAGAGGTGCTATCTTTCTCCGTTTGCTTGGACCCACTTAAATGTACTCCTGGGTCTGTAAGGAGTAAATAGCCTTTTCTACTCTTCCCACAAGTGCTACTAAGGTTGGAGTAAAGGCAACTGCCTGGCTCTAGTGGTGGCACAAAGCAGTCTGCTGGGAACACGGATTACCTGCAAGGCTCAGGCTTTGTGGAAGGTTACTGAAGTACACATAAGAAACATACAAAAATTAAAATTGCATTCTTTAGTGTCTCCTCATCAAAGAATTATTGTAATTCCCTCCTTTTTGACAATTCTAGTTCCTTCAAGCCTAAAGAAACCTAAAGGTCTGAGATCTTACCTCAAGGCAGCATCAGTATCACTTTTAGGAAACTGCTCAATGCCCAGCCACACAGCTCAGAATTCCCAGTTGGGCCATTTGTCCTTAACATTCACTAATGTGATCAGTTCAAAAATAAGGCACACAGGTGTTTCAGGACAAAAAGGAGAGCGAACACAGATGGACACAACTCTATAAACTAGCAATTAACACAAATCCCTGGGGATGAGATTAGGAACAGGAAAACCCATGTGATGAATAAGTGGCTTAAAGACTTGTGCCATCGGAATTTTGGGGTCTTTTATCATGGGGCAGTTTATAAGGAACCAGGCGTGCTGGAGACAGATGGGATTTACCTATCAAGCAAGGGCAAAAGGTTTCTAGCCCACAAGTTGCCAGGGATGATTGAGGGGCTTTAAACTAGATTTGAAGGTGAAAGGGGATAAGACCAGGCTTCACAGAGATGAGCCTAGGAGTGGCAAGCCAGAGTTAGGGGCAAAATCAGCAGCCCAGCTGAAGTGCATCTACCCTAAGGCACACAACATGGGTAACAAAAAAGGGGAGCTGGAAGCCATCGTGCAGCAGGAAAACTGTGATGTAGCTGCCATCACGGAAATGTGGTGGGATGACGTGCATGACTGGAATGCTGCAATGGATGGCTCCAAGCTCTTCAAAAGAGACAGGCAAGGTAGGAGAGGTGGTAGGGTGGCTCTGTATGTTAGGGAGTCTTTTGACTGTACAGAGCTCGAGGAGAGTGATAATAAGGTTGAGTGTCTATGGGTAAGAATCAGAGGGAAGGCCAACAAGGCTGACATCCTGGTGGGAGTCTGTTATAGACCACACAACCAGAGTGAAGAGGTGGATGAACAGTTCTATCAGCAGCTGGCTGATGTTTCACCATTGCCAGCTTTTGTTCTTGTGGGAGAATGTAACCTGCTGGATGACAGCTAGAAACTCAACATAGTGGGGAGGAGGCAATTCTAAGAGTGGCCCAGCGGAGAAGGACCTGAGGGTGCTGGTCAACAGCCAGCTGAACATGAGCCAGCAGTGTGACCAGGTGGCCAAGGCGGCCAATGGTATCCTGGCTTGTATCAGGAATAATGTGGTCAGCTGGACTAGGGAAGTGATTCTTACCCTGTATTTGGCACTGGGAGGCCACACCTAAGTACTGTGTCCAGTTCTGGGCTTCTCAATTCAGGAAGGAGGTTGACTTGCTGGAGTGGGTCCAGAGAAGGGCAGAAAAGCTGGTGAAGGGTCTGGAGTGCAAGTCCTGTGAGGAGTTGGGGTTGTTTAGCCTGGAGAAGAGCAGGCTCAGGGGTGACCTTATTTCTCTGCAAGTACCTGAAAGGAGGCTGTAGCAAGGTAGGGATCAGCCTCTTCTTCCAGGCAGTTAGCAAAAGGAAAAGAAGACATACATAGTCTTAAGCTGAGCCAGGGGAGGTTTAGGTTGGATATTAGGAAGAAATTATTCAAAGAAAGGGTCATTAGATATTGGAATTGGCTGCCCAGGAAAGTGGTGGAGGTACCATCCCTGGAGGTGTTTAAGGAAAGACTGGGCGTGGCACTGAGTGCCATGGTCTAGTTGACATGGTAGTGTTTGGTCACAGTTTGGACTCAAAGATCTCGGAGGTATTTTCCAACCTAATTGATTCCATAACTGACAAGGAATTAATAACAGCAAATTGATTTGAAGCATTCAATAGAGTAGATCTCAATATCACATCCACAGCTAATGTCTGTCATTTCCACTAGAAATCATCAGGAAGAGCAAGAGATGGCACTTCCTTGTGATTTTATTTTTCTGCCTAACACAAGCTACTGTTTTGTAGCAGCCTGATGAGCTGCCAGGCCAATTAGCTGCCAGCATGTTCTCACCCCCAGATGTGGTCAAGCATAGAGCACAAATAAACATCATTCATTACCCTCTACAATAATTGCTGTGAGCTGGCCCACTGAGCACAAAGCAACAGTTATCACGACTGTGAAAGCAAGAACCCACACGAAGAGTATAATTAGTATTTATGGCAAACCGAATTTCAAACTCCTCTTTCAAATAGCATGTGTTCTCAGGGAAACACGGATAGAAGACACCAAGAAACTCTATCTACACGGATCTCCATTTATACTAAATCTCTAGAGATACCAGTGTAAAATATTCACACTTCTACAAACTTCTGTCACCGTACCTCAAATAAAACTTCAAAGTGTTTAAGCATCAGCAAAGGATTTTTAGGTATATGATTAAATCCATTGTTTAGGATCAAATATAGAAAACTGTCCTCATTAGCTTTCAAATGGAAATATCAAAGCACATAGAGTAATTTACGGTACTAATAAAGACAGAAAAATTAGATCTACTGAAGTTTTACGCTAATGCCAAAACAAAGCAAGCTATGCAGGAAGCAAGTGCTAAAGACATGTAGGCAAACACATTAATTAATATAAAAATTGTGAAATCCCACAACTGTGCAATGGATAGTCATTTGAGGATGACTGAATCAGAGACTGTCCTGGTTAGCACAATAAAACACCACTATAGTTTGCACGGATGAGACAGTGGTGTTAAGACCTTTATTTTAAGCTTAAAAGCCCAGCTGTTAAGTGTTGGATTTTACAGTATTTGTAGCTTCTTCTTAAAGCCCCAAGTCCGGTTGCCCGCTGATGAAATAAGAAACTCAGGTACCCTTTAAAGACAAAGGAATCTTCTAACCTTTGCAGCTTCCTTATACGGAAGATGCACTGAAGGAAGAAAGACATTCAGCCACAGAAAGGAAAACAGGGGCATCTAAAACAACCATCAAGAGAAAGAAGCCAAAAAATCCATTTAATTTACTGACAGCAAAGATGTAAACACATTAAAAAATTGACTTCTTGAAGCATAAAAGTGTTGGAACTAATATTCTGTAATACAATAACCATAAATTGTCCCAGTCATCTAAGTCTACAGTTAGATTAGAAGTGCCCACTTTTCTGGGTATGATTTCCCTGGTTTTGAAAAATTCTTAGTAACTAAACTGCTGCTAATGTACTGTGCTACAAAATATCTACTGTAATATTTTAAAAAGGGACCTTTCAAACTGACCACATAAAGAATCAAACAAAACCTTTCCTTTAAAAAGTAAAAGCAACAAGTGAGCCTGCTTATACCTTTAAAATATTTACTAACAGAACTGAAAGTTTAAAAATTAAGACCTTATTTTTACAACTTCCCCAGAGACATCAAAATGGTAAAACAAATGAAAACAGTAACTCCTATTGAAAAAT